GGCGCGTATAGCCTCCTCATTTGGTCGACTTCTTCGACCTCCCCGTTGCTACTATGGCGGACGACGAAGTTCTCTTCGACGAAGTTTACGAGCTCTGCGAGATTATCGGCAAGTGAGTAACGAATTCGTGAGAAAGAATGAGACAGCTGCGCTAGTACTATGTAGTATGAGTCATGACTAGGGAGAGGGAGCAAGTGTCAAAATGCGAAACAATTCAAAGGAAAGGGTGAAAGAGATATAAGATACTATACTTTGACAGGCGAACGATACGTGAATGCCTATGTTATACGTTAATTCTTTGATATGCGTACCGTGTGTATAGCATAGGTTATGCGTGTTCGTATTGAATCTGGGGACAGTTGCGCGCGCGTAAGCATGTACCGCGTGTAGAAACGATGACGTATATTTGTTGACTCAAAAGGGGCGAATGGGTAAGTAACAATGCAAATGCAAGGAAAAGGTGCGTGTTGAATAAGAAGTCTGGTCTACGTGCCTATTCATGCAAGTTTTATTTCAAGTCTTTACAGGTTGTCTCTAGCAACGTGACCCACCCTTTCGATGAAAACCCATGAACCATACTTTTACCTTTAAACTTGAATATCGTATGCGCAAGAAATAAAATGCTGTCCTTATATTTTATTGATGTTCTCACTAGCAGTTAATCGTTCATATAAATATTTTAACAATGCGGTTACATGGTACGCCCAATGTTCTGTTTATAAGTGGGTAGTATTTAGCAGTTACGAAGAAAAGCGAATTTTAAACTACGTCTAATAATAGAAAACAAGTATTTTATATTGCGTACTTTTGAAAGTTTCATTCTATGAATGGAAAGTAACGTAATAGCATCTTATCATCGTATCAGTTGTATAAGTGCGCACTCTGAAATGCTACTGATAAAAATACCAGTGTAACGATACAACTAATACATGAACATCATACATTAATATTTGTATACGTTTTTTCTAGTGAAAAAACTGATGTGATTGATTTTCTAGTGAAATAACTGATACAGTATTTTTCTAAGAGTGATAAATATAGGATAAAAAATTTAGCAGTTAGTTCTCATTTCTTCAAATTTTATAACTTTTTAAAAACATAAAGTTTCGAGATTTGTATAAAACAAAACCTTCAGAAGAATAACTTTTGCAATATCTGTTTATCTTTGTATTCTTTTACGATATAAACTTTTTATTTTATATTGCAGAGTTTATAGTATTCGTTACAAAGTGAAAGTAAAAAATTTATAGATTATCTGATTTTGTACATTTTGTTTTTTTATAATTTACAACATATTGGAAATTAACTTTTTAATGATGAAAAAGTGAAAAACAAAATATTATAGATAGTTATTTCTTTGTATGTAAACAGAGATTCATTGTCGTTTAGTGTGAAAAAGTGATTTTGATATATTTCCTATATTTTTTATTCTAAAAATTAAAGTAGGCTCTTAGTATATTAAACCTTTATTAAAACATTTATGTTAAGAATAAAATCTTAACGAAAAAAGATGTAAATTGTTTATATAATGAAACAATGAAAAATAGTAAGTTATGTCGGAGGAAAGAAATAGAAACAAATGTGATTCTGATATTTGCAATTCACATTCATCTGTCCGTACATAACAATTTATAATTCACGTACATAGCATCTGTCCCTGCTTTGATAAAATTTTCATTTTGTAATCGACGCTTTGTATTATACAGTATCATTCACAATTTTTTATTTCAGTGCTTGAGATTACGCAGTTTTGTCTCAATGAAATGTAACAAAAGAAAAAGGGCATAAAACGAGCTCAGTAATAAAATACGAACCTACATAGAACTGCGCATTGCCCTGAAACTTTATATTATTTTTCAAATGTGATATACTGAATCATATATAGGCTACGAGCAATACTGTCACATGTTTATAGATAACACGTTAGTTTCAACTTCACTCTCGTTCGATGGAACATTTCAAGAGCTTCAGATCGTGTAAAATCCTGTGACGAACATGCTATTTCGAAATCCTCGTTACATGACCATAAACCCTCTAAGAAGTAAATTCACATTAACTTCCATTAATTCCCTTTGCTTTCTTTTTCTTTTCCGTAGCACATGAATTTTAATGTTGATTAAAAATTCGATTTATCCGAGTGAGCACTTCGACGAAAAAAAAAATTGGAATTTCAAGAGCTTCAACTGGCGTAAAATTCCGTGATGAACGCGTTATTTTCAATTTCTTGTTGCACGACCACTAGTCTTCTAACGCTAACTATTATAAATTTGAGTGAACTTCCATCTATCGCTTATTATAATTTCATTTCTCATTTCTTCTGACTGTATGCGAATTTTAATGTTTATTAAAAGTCCAATTTATTTGAGTGAATGCATTGACGGAAGAAATTGGAAATGTGTATCTGAGAGGCAGGGAGAGGGAAAAAAAGCGTGGAAACGTTGCAGCACATACGTTTCCCTGGGCTCGATCGAGCGACCCCGGAAGAGAAGAGTTCCAATAAATACACGAAATTGCAGTAGCAAGCCTTAACGCTGGCACATACCAGGTAAAATGCAACTTGGCCAACACTTCTTTTACGATGCTCGCCCTACTTTTCATCCCCCTCGTAACTCAGTCGTCGAGGGTCGTGCATACAACGGCTCTGTCTACATGTTTTCTGAGAAGTTAGAGTAAATTCTTGATGATGGAATTTGCCCTTGAACTTAATTGCAGCCGGTTGTCCAGCGTGTTGGACTTAGGAAGTAGCGGAAGCAATCGTTATCATACATTTCTCTTGATGCGTTTGATATGGCACGTATGCTTTTTCTTCAATGGATTTGTTGGTTGAGCAAATATCAAGCTCAAACGATCAAGTTCAATGTAATGAGATACTGAACAAGGAAAAGATCGAGGTCGAAGTGGTCGGTACGCGATAGGAATTGTATACGAGAGAACACGCACTCTTGGAAACATTATATTTATATTTCGGAAGTTTCTATATTTGTAGTATAATGGAGAGACTGCGCCATGTTGTAGCGTTATTTTTTCAGTTTCATGCGATTTTTAAAAACAGTACCAAATTGTATATCGTCCAAAATATTATTTAGTATTTACAATATTTTCTATTTTAACATACTGGAAGTTTAATTTTCTTTGTAAAAATCAAGAAATATAGTAAAGTTATACGTGGAATACATGGAATATGATTGTTAAATACCATATTTTATCATTATTAATTCCATGAATGCTCCGTTTTATTTAATAAGCTTCTTGTGATATCAAACGATACTCTATATGTAATATTACGTTACATAATTTTTCAGAATTATTTTTTACAATGTCTTTGCACAGAGATATTTCTCTTACGTAAATCTTTCTGTATAGCGATACAATAGGTTGTATTAAAATATTTTCTACGTTACAAGTACATATGTACTTAAAGTTTGTGCATTGTGCATTCATCACAGAGCGCACCTTCGAGCGCTCTATAAATACAAAGCCGTTTTAATGGGTTTTCCCTTCTAAAGGATTATTTGTATCAAGCGGTTTCCTCCCCAAAGTGCAAATTTCTCGCTAAAGTTTCTCATCATTTGGGTTATCCGAATAGGTACTCTACATAAGTTCTATAATTATATCTAAAAGCAAAGTAGAACAGCAAAGATTATAGAATTTCGATCCAAAACAATCAATTTTTTCCATTATGTTATCACATATCAAATTATTTATTTTTCTATTGAAAAAAGATTTTTAAAGTTATATCAAAAAATTTGAAAAAACTATTCATTTCGATTTTTAACTTCTATTTCTAGAAATATCTTTTGTTAGTATCAGCTTAAAGCACATCATATTTACAAAAATGTGTTAGATGCTATTTTATGAAAATCTAAGATAAGATATAAGTAATTAATTTTTGTCTACAAAAAATTATTTATTAAGTGTAACTTTTTAAGGAATCTGTCTGGCCTTCTTATTTGTTCTTTTTATGTACATTATACGAGTAATTTATTTAGTACCATAGCAATAGGTGCACTATTCGTTTCTTACATGTATGTAGCTCTTTGGCATATCGCCAATTGTTACCGATGATGTGAAGTTGGATTCTGCTTAATAGAAACGAAGTGTCATCGATCCTAATGAATCGCGTCTAAAATGGAACGATACAAAGTCGACATTAGCTAAATGTTTGCGAAGTGTTTTTGTCGCAATATATTTTGTGCTCTACATTTTCTAAATGTATCTTAAATAACAAAATTTATATATACCTTTTTATTTATTACTTTATTAAATATATATTGTTAATATTACATTATTATTACTTCTTTGAAATACAATGTGATTATAGAAAGAAGTAGAGTAAAAACCATAGTTTAACAAACAAGATACGAAAAACACAAAATTCTTTTAAAACTCTGGTGTTAATATCCAATAAAGTGTCAGAAATGCATCTGAGATCAACTTGCTAGGAAGTTTTTGCTTGATATTGGTCAAGTATTTCCCTTTTAAGCACTCATACCCTTCCTGTTGATATATCGTGAGTCCAATATAGTTCCATTAAAATATCGACCACATCCGACTTCGATAGCCTGGGAATTGATGCTTGAAGATTATAACAGACCAGAACGAGATTTCCCAAGTGATGTCGCATTAATATCATTGCTGTCAATCTGTTCTTGAATGCATGTTTTAAAATAAATAGTCGTTTAAGATAATCGACGGTACAAAATAGTGGTTGAATTTCATGAATTTCTTAAGTACTATGCATCCTCCAGAGATTTTCTAAAGAGTTTAAGGATAAATAATCGACTTGCCCTTTGCCATTACCATCTTTGAACGGGATATTGATTGTATGCTGGTTTACCATTATCCGCTGTGGTCATTAGCCCATGAATGACTGTATAAACTTCGATGTCCTAAGAATAGTTTAGAACGAAACTTCTATGTTCACCTCTCTATCTACCTCCATTGACGGTATTCCATTGAGGAACAGCATTTAAGTACGAGCAGCTAGCGTTATATTGGACATTACATAGCTACGTTTGATCGACATGGTCAAAAAAGGAAGAAACTATATTCTAAATTAGTACAACTTCTTATGATATCTGAGAATTAAAAAAAATGCAGTAATAGTTGCAA